GATTATATATCGAAAAATAACTTAAATTTGAAAAGAACAAACTATTATAAAACCATTACTACATTCTAGATATTTAGAACATAACTTTACTGAATCACTTTAAACTCAATTAATGATAGAATACCTTAGTGTGATTCGCCGCAAAGATTCTTGGGGGACAAACCGCACAGAGATATTCCTCTGATCAAGACTCCCCCTCCTTTATCATCATCTTTTAGATCATCCTTGGAATTTCAACTGATAGTTCTGACTATATCATCTACAGAAATTAGGAACTAAGGTTCTTGTCCAATCTTTCATTTAAAGGGAATCTCATACCTTGATGAATGCAGGTTCGATCCTTATTAGGTTATAATTTTCTCTTCCTTTTATTACAATCTAAAATCTTTTTGGAGCCAAAGCTTGAAACCTAGTTATGAAAAATAAAAAAATCAATTAAAATAAACTATTAATTATCAAATTGAATTGTTAATTTATACAAATTTTAGAAAATTAATAATTCCAGCATGGGGAGGGACTTTATTAAAAGGGCATGTAAGGTGTCATTACTTGACTACATAATTTGCCTAATCCTAAGAAATTTTTTTAAAGAGCCTTCCTTTTTTTGGAATAAATTACCACTTGCCTATAGTCAGGGCCAGGAATTGATAAGCAGGGATTTTATTTCTTGCCATATATATTTGTCTGACTAAAGCATGTGTGAGAGGAGCTTGGAGACCTCTTAATTTGCTGTGGTTATTGTTTTCTATGGCTAGAGAGTCACCGATTTCTGTGTGTAAAGGGTTTATTCCTAATAATTTTAAAAGTTAATTAAATTTAATGTCTAACTTAGATTCTCTTATATAATATTAATTTAGAATAATATAGTATTAACTATCAACAATGCAGGCAAGTATCACAACAAGGACTCTATTTAAAATTATTTTGATTAAAAAAACTATGGTGAAAGGTTAAAAAATGTGAAGTCAAGAAAAGTTCAAAATAATGTGCACTTCTAATTCCAAAAGCCTAAAATGAAACTCTTAGATCATTATTATTTCCTTATTTCATCAGTATTTAGATATACATAAATTGTATATACTTTGATATTTCAATTACTGTTAAAATTGGTTTTGATAAGCTATAATATAGTTTGGAATTTATATATTTTCCTTTTGATATCAAAGGTTTGATTATGTTTCAGGCTTTTTTATATATGTTACTAAGTGGTATTGATTTCAGCCTTTCCTCAATGCCAACAATCTGTTGTAATTTTAGATTCGAAAAACTCTTATTACTTTGAATTGATATTCAAATATTATTAAAAACCGTTTTCTAAAGGCATGCTGATCAGATTCCTAGCCTGTTACAGATTTGAATATTAAATAATTGCCTCTTTAAACAGTCCAATCTAAAATATTACAATTAATGACTAAGCTTTTCTTAGGAATTCTCTCCTATTTAGTGATAATATCAGTTCTATCTTAATAAATTCTAAGGTTAGAAAATCTGTTCTCTATTCTTTCTCAGACAGAGAGACTATTTAAATCAAAAAGAATTAAGTGGGAGAGCAGGAGAATTAATTTTCAGATTCTTAATTTTTTGAAGTTGAAATTTTAATACCAGTTCCTATAGATTAAATTTTATTATGAATACATCCCTTTTCTTGATATATCTAAGGTCTAAAGGTTGAAAGTCTAAGTCAGACTAATATTTATATAAAATCAATCATATATAATCCAAAATAAAGATGAATAAAGTTTAATTCCTGTTGTTGTTTTATTTGAAATTTACATCATATCCTCTCAATTTTTATTTTATCATTCGGCATCTTTTCTATTAGAACACATCATCTAGCTTCTCAATAATAATATTTCGAAAACCTATTAATTGGTCATCACGCTAACTCTTCATTTTTCTGTTGAATTATATCTTCGACTGCGCAATAATTAAAGTAAATATATATTCAGAAATCACAAAACCATATATTTAAAGAAAACAATTTTATTTAGTATTTCCACTGTTTAATATTTTTCTTAAAATTTTTCTCTTGTAAATAGCATTCAATTTTCTAAAGCATCGTCTTTGATTTATAATAC